TTCACCATTTATTTACATAAAAAATATATCTATTAAATATTGTATGAAAAAATCTTACATCAAAATATAACTTATAAGTTACATACAAAGAAAACCATTTGCGATGTTAACCTATGTAGACAGAGCTGAGACGTTGACGTTAAAGTTGATAACCGCATCTACACTTGATTTGAGCTAAAAGGCCGAGAAAGGTATAATAACCGCAATAATGTGTTGATACGGGTGGGTGGTGGTATGGGGAGCCCACAAGTACAAATTTTCAACTCTTTAAAAGAAAGACCTCCCTCTCCATTAATAGTTGGAAAAAGTGCAGATGAATTGCACTTTTGTTTTTTGAAATAATTAATTTCTCTTCAAATTTTTTATTGTTTGTACCCAAAAACCAAAAAACTTCCTATTGTTGCTGCATTGCAATTTGCAAGGAAATATCAATTCATGTTCCAAAAATCAATATATATCAACATTTTTAATCAAGTGTATGATCATATATATACATGCATCGACTTTAAAAACACTACTTAATTAATTTAAGCAAAGATTTTCTATCTATATATAATCTTTTAAATTATCATAAATCACTATAAAAGGATACAAAAAAACTTTGAAATTAATCTGCTCGATCACACTGTCACTTTTTACGTGCAAAAGATTTTTTTTTTTCGAAGGAGTTATATTTCATTCTTTCCATAACTCACATTTACTAGTAAAAAAAATGGATTCCTCCTAGGCCCAATTAATCATAAATATTATAATTAATAAAATTTAATATTTGTTTAAATGACATAAATTAAAAAATTCTGAAAAACAATTGTTAAATTTGTCGTTAATTCTTCACCATTTGTTTATATAAAAGTAAGTACTAAATGTTGAGTAAAAAAATTTCATATTAAGTGTATAATGAAAAAACTATTTCACATGTTAGCCCATATGATGCTGGTTTTTTTTTTTTTTTACAAGGATAATGATTAGTAAGTTAATTGTTATTAATTATTAATAATTACAGATTCGATCCCAGACCTTGTAAACATCCCACCCATGAAATGAGCTGCGGCCATCGAGCCGCTTTGGTGGAGTTCAATGCTGGGTTATTCACAGTTAATACGGGTAGGAGGTGTAAGGGTGCCCACATGTACAATTTTTCTTTTCAACTCTTATGAATTGTTTGTGAATGTTGCCATTAATTATTGCTTTGGTGGAGTTCAATGCTGGGTTATTCACAGTTAATACGGGTAGGAGGTGTAAGGGTGCCCACATGTACAAATTTTCTTTTCAACTCTTATGAATTGTTTGTGAATGTTGCCATTAATTATTGCTTTGTTTGTGGATGTTGCCATTAATCATTGCTCGTGTACTGTACAATTTTTCTCCATTTAATGCTCGGTTATTCACAGTTGATACGGGTAGTTGGTGGTAAGGGGAGCCCACATGTACAATTTTTCTTTTCAACTCTAAGGAATTGTTTGTGGATGTTGCCCTTATTGCTCATGTACAATTTCTCTTTCAACGCTTATAAATTTTTTGTGGATGTTGCCTTATTGCTCAGAGTTCAGGGTAGCCTACTTCTTCTCCACAACTTCGTAGCTTAGCAAGGTTCCTTTTTTTTTTTTTGTTTTAATTTTTTTCCTGAGCTTACTGGAACAAATTAATGGCTTTGGTTTCAACACAGAAACTGCCCATGTATTCTACTTCTACTCGTGGAAAGCTCACCTTACCCCAACATGTGGTTCGGATGATACCTGTGCTTTTTCCATCAGAATTACAAATTGCTAGAAGGGCAGAATTGACTATGTTTAATTTCGAAGGCCCTAATGTGGCTGAATTTGTAGTAACCGCATCACTTCAAAGACAAGGGGAAAATGGTGAGAGGGTGGTTCTCTTGGAAAGTGGGTGGAAGCCTGTGGTTAGGGAACTTGGATTGACAGAAGGAGACACGGTGAGTATTTATCTCTTGGATAACATGGCGTGGATTTATTCAATTGAAGTGCAAAGGGTTCCAGTCCCAGAGGCTGATAGAATTGATGTTAATGCCATGGATGAGGATGTAGTACTGGAAGGGGCTCCAGTAAGGATGGAGTTCGACCTGAATGAACCTGCCCAACCCAACATGGAGATCAATCTGAACCAACTGAATCAACCGGCGGTAAGGATGGCGTTCGACTTGAACGAGCCTGCCAACCCCAACATGGAGATCAATCTCAACGATGAATAGTGGAGGAGGGGAGTAGGAGACTGATCTTGCTGTTACATTAGTATAATACCCATCCACAAATATGCATTCAATTTCTTTGCTTGTCCTTTTTTATTTTTTTTTGGTTTTTTGTTGGAGTTTTTTTTTTTTTTACTAGTGTGGTTTAGAGTTTTTAAGATGGATTTGATTTTAGTCGTTGGGTTGTTAGTGGATGGCTTACTGTTTGTCCTATTGTCCTTGTTTGTTTTATACATTTGAGTTTATAAATAAAAATATCTATATATAAATCGCGGTTAGTTTTTTCTTAATTTAATTCGAATGATGTTTTAGTAGTAGAATTTAGATTGGATGGATTTTTTCGTTACGTGAAATTAATTGATTAATTGATTGTTCAATGACATAAAGGTGTGTAAACTAAGTTGAATTAATTATTAATATATTCTTTTTCCAACCGACTACAACGCACGCATTTGAGCACTACCTGTTGACCGAGAATTTCTCAGGCAAGCGCCCGTGAAAAAAAGTTCTGGTGAGATGACACCG